TTTTGTTTTTGTTTTTGTTTTTGTTTTAAGACCTTAGAACATATCATTCCACTCCCTTCTACCTTGTAGTTTTTGGTAAAAAGTATTCTGATAGTCTTATAGGGTTTCTTTGTATAAAACAAGCTGCTTTTCTCCTGCTGCTTCTAAGATTCTCTCCTGTCTTTAACTTTTGATAATTTAATTATAATGTGTCTCCTTGTGAGTCTCTTTGGATTCATATTTTTTGGTACTTTCTGAGGTTCCTGCGTCTGGGTGTCTCTTTCTTTCACCAGGTTAGGGAAGATGTTAGCCATTATTACTATTATTTTTTTGGCTAAGCTTTCTGCCTCCTTTTCACCCTCTTCCACTTCTGGAACTTCCATAATAAACAAATAAATATTAATCTTTTTGATGATGTTCCATAAACTATATTTACTCCTTTTCATTTTTTTTTGTGTCTACAATTGGCTGAATTCCACTGCTATGTCTTCAAGTTTACTGATTCTTTCTTCTACTTGATCTAGTCTGTTGTTGAACCACTCTATTGAATTTTTAAATTCAGTTATTGTATTCTTCTGCTTTGTGATTTCTTTTGGGCACTTCTTAATATTTTCTATTTCTGTTGTAATCTCGCTTTGTTCATGCATTTCTCTCCTGAATGTAGGAGCATATTATGACCACTATTTTGAACTCTCTATTAAGTAAATGTACTTATTTCTGTTTTGTTAAGATCTGTTCCTGTAGATTTATCCTGTTCTTTGGTTTGAAACACATTCCTCTGTTTTTTTTTGTTTTCCTTGGCACTCTATTGGTTTCTGTCCATTAGAAAACGACCACTCCTCCCAGTCTTGACAGAATGGTCTCATATAGGAAATGAACCTTGTTAATTATCCTGGCCTGAGCCCTGGTTGTCTCTCAGACCTTGTGATCATCTAAGCTGTCATCTTTGTTTTTACTGGCTCCCAGTAGTTCAGGGTGTGCCAAGATTTGTCAAGTGTTCCAAAGGGAGGATCACAGTCAACATTTAAATGTAGGCTAATCGGAAGCTGGACATTTGGGTATAGCTGCAAAAGTATGTAGTTATGCTCCATCTAGAGAGATACTGGGATTTGGGCATTTGTGTCAACTCCCTCCCTTCTAGGCTGTGTATAGCCATGTGGACAGATAGTCGTAGTGACTGCTTGAGCTTGTGGAGAACTGATTCTTTGTTTGCTGTATTTTGTGGGACCCTTAACTGTTAGTGCTGATCAGGGTCAGGTGATCCAAGGACCCGTCCCTAGGGCTGCAGCCATAAAGGTTGGAATGCATACATGTGTATAAGCTCCTTCCAGGGAGATACTGGTGACCGGGATCAAGGTAAAAAGAAAAGGCCAGGGAGGTGTCTACCGGCTTCTCTGGTTTCTACAAAGGATCAGAGTCTGACCCTAGATACAAGCATGCTGATACTTACTTAGGTAGTAGATTTCAAAGTATATAGTTGCATACCTTTAAGGAAAAGACTGGGAGAGGGACAATTTTGCCTGCTCCCTCTGTGCAGACACACAAGTCTTGTACAGCCCTTAACAACTTCTCTTTTATTTGCTGCAAGTCTTGTGGATCATTGGGATGCACTCTTCATTGATTTTCAGAGCTAGATATTTCAGGGGTCTGTCCTTGGGTGGCAGTCTTAAATGTTTGGGCACAAATGTGAAGTCTAAACCCACTGCTCCTCAGGAAGAAGCTTGGAGTTGGAAGTTCCCTCTCAGTTGTGTGACACTAAACTAGGGGTTAGGGCTTATGGCAAGATTGTGTCTCAGCCTTAAATATGGATATTGCTCAATGTCTCGGAGTCACGTAGCTTGTTTCTGGATTTCTTTCAGAGGTAATTACTTTGCGTGGGACTCTACATTTGATGTGGCTGTGGAAGGGAGTGAGTCCAAGAGCCTCCTGTGTCACCATCTTGGCTGTCCCTCCCCACCCCCACAGAATTTTTGTTGTTGTTGGGATTCCATTAGCATTCTATTAATTACCTTTTCCTAACATTGAAACATCAGAGTTATATGTAAATTTCTCATTTAGTATATTCTTTTCTTTTTTCTTTTTAATGTTTATTTATTTTTGAGGGGGCGGAGAGAACGAACAGGGGAGGGGCAGAGAAAGAGAGAGACATGGAATCTGAAGCAGGCTCCAGGCTCTGAGCTGTCAGCACAGACCTGACACGGGGCTCAAACTCACAAACCATGAAATCATGACCTGAGCTGAAGTCGGATGCTTAAATGACTAAGCCACCCAGGTGCCCCACATTTAGTATTTTCTAATGCTCATCCACACGTTGTGCAATGCTAGGCACATTTCAAGGAATAAGTAAAATTAGATGAAATTAAAGAAACAGTGAAGTGTTTTCATAGCCATACTTAAGCATACAGATATTTAAGTTTTGTGGTGAATAGTTAAGATAGAAGACATCATGGGTATATTTGATGGCACTTTTCAATTTGGTGAATATGAATAGTGAAATGGATACTGAAATAAGAAAAATTTACTTCTGTAATTCAGGTATGTATCAGCTGGAGTCTGTAGTCCCTTTAGGATCTAGATTATATTTGATTGTCACTGTTTTGATCCCCCCTGAAAGTCCAAAAGCTCTCCCACGATTTCTGCAGAATCCCTGTCAGTCTGGTTCCTACATTTGTGCGTGTTTCCTTTGGCTACGTTTGTGAGGCTAGTGTAAAGTTGTTTTTCCTCAACTTTCAAAACACCGACTTAAGACATGTGTATAAAATAGACGGGGCTAAATTGAGTCACATTATGGCAATGCAAACATTTCAAGCTGTAGGTGAGACAGAGTTCTGACAGTGTCCTTCAGCGGCCTCTCCCTGGGAAGTTGCACTGTCCCTTCCTTACCTCAGATAATGTGCAGCATTATATCATTTTGCAGGCTCTTTTTTTGCCCCATGCACTTCCTTGCTTTATCAGTACTGAAATTAAGTTCACATTTTTGCTTATGCAAAAAGGCAATCCCAAGTTATCTATTAAACAGGAAGGTTTTTGGGGCACCTGGATGGTTCAGTCAGTTAAGCGTCTGGCTTCAGCTCAGGTCATGATCTCACGGTTCGTGGGTTCAAGCCTTGCGTCAGGCTCTGTGCTGACAGCTCAGAGCCTGGAGCCTGTTTCAGATTCTGGGCCTCCCTCTCTCTCTGACTCTGCCCTGCTCATGCTGTCTCTGTCTCTCTCAGAAATAAATAAAAACATTTAAAAAATTAAAAAAACAGAAATGTTTTTCTTCTAAGAAGTCTGTGCTAGATAACTTGAATAAAATTTAGCTTCTGCTTCACTTAGTTATGTATCTGTTAAATTAGCAGTCCTGCTGAATAAATCAGCCAGGCTTAGAAATGGTCTGTGCCAAGAATGTGGATCTAAAATAGTTTCAGGAGAAAGAATCAATGTGAAAATTTCAAACTGTATTAGGAAATTATAAATGTTATGGTGAAAAAGAATCAACATTAGAAAAGGTGAGTAAAGCTTTGTGGAGTTACCAAAACCACCAAAAAGACATTAAGCAGTTTAAAACTTTGTCTTTACCATTTGTACCTCCCTTCTGGAGAAGGTAATCACATCCGTGATGCTAATCACGACCCTATGCCCAGGACTTGAAAGCGATAACGATTAGGCTCTCAATAGCATTAGTAAGTTCGAAGAGAAGATCCAAGTGCCGTGTGTGAAAGCTTAACAAAAGATATTTTATTATGAGATTTTAGATTCTTCCGCACTCTTCCTTCCCATTCCCACCCCCATGCCCATTGTACTTCCAGAGGAGAAAGCCATTATTGAAGCTGATCTTCTAGTCAAGCTGTGAATAACCATTGACCCTCATTCTGAAAGGAGTCAGTGTCCATAGAGATGCAGCAACTGTGGGCACAGCGCCCCCTGGTGATGGACACTGGGTCTTCAGTGTGGCGACGGAGGAAAGAGTCTCCAAGAGAGACAGTGTCCCGTTTCCTGTTGTAATTTTTGAGACCTTATCGACCCCACCAAAAGGTTTCTAGTAACAATTCACCGTTGGGGATACTTTTCAGATAAAGAGTTTCCAGAATCTCCCCATTTCATTTTTAACCTAGACTTTTTCTTTTTTATCACTTCCACACGGAAAAGCTATTTCTCTTAGTATAAGATGCCAATGGCAGGGACTGAATGGGGCTACAAATGAGGTGAAATGAAGTATGCTTTCAGTATGCAATACTGAGAAAATTAATACGTACACCATATGGGACAAATAAATAAAAACATAAAGTAATATGTGTTGGAAATGTTAAGATAAATAGCTTAAAGTAAGTTACTTGCATTTTGGGCAGACAGAACTCAGTGATGATTAGAAAACATTTTACGTATGTATTTATTTAATCTTATCTCACCATGTTCTGGAAAGAATTTGAGACCATGTATACATTAAATACAACAAGATAAAAGGAAAGTTGCAAGGTAGTCAGGGCTGCTGGAGAAATAAAGGGAACCATTCAAAAGGAAGATAAGGAAGGTTTGGGTTTGGTATATAGGGAAAGGAGAGACTTTTAGAATATACTACTTTCAAAGGCAGAGACTACCCTTTCCCTGAGAGTGCTTAATCGAGTCTAGGTGATACTCCCTGGGGATTCTGCTAAGGGACTGATGCATAGGTTAGGAGTTGAACTAGATGGCTTCTCTTCTCACTGGCCCCAGTGCATGAACAAAGCATTCATTGAGAGATTATTGTGTGTGTATCCTGTCACTTCTTCTATTGGGGTACTATAAAAGAGCTTTAAGACTAATATTCCTGAAAATGTAATGTGTCTTTGTTATTATGTTGAGATACACTAAGAATAGAAACAAAAATAATGACATTTTAAATAAACATCAGTTGGTTAAAGTGCAAGGCAATTTAAACAAAAATAAAATATATATGAATTTTTAAAGATCCATTCACATTATACTTAGTTTTAGAAGAAATGGAAAAATGCTATATATGTCTATTGATTTTGAAGCTAATGTTATACTATTTCCCACAGAGCTCACCTGAATGACCTTGAAAATATTGTGCCATTTCTTGGTATTGGCCTTCTGTATTCCTTGAGTGGTCCAGATCTTTCTACGGCCATCCTGCACTTCAGATTCTTTGTTGGAGCACGGATCTACCACACAATCGCATATTTGACACCCCTTCCCCAGCCAAATCGTGCTTTGGCTTTCTTTCTTGGATATGGAGTTACTTTTTCAATGGCTTACAGGTTGTTGAAGAGTAGATTGTACCTGTAAGGAGAATCCTACGACTCATCATTCAGTTAATTTCTAAGAATTCTGTACTTCTAGTTTATAATGATACTTTTTTTTCTTAGATTTTAAGTGGGAAGGGAGCAGAGAAACTAAGATGTGGCAAACAGTCTGAATATTAACATCACAAATATCTTTGAATCTTATACTTTTACTGAAATTTTAACATAATTTTTAAGCCTTTTGATTTCTTCTTTAAGTGCCTTGTTATAAATTCAGATTTTAACTTGTAGCATTCATTCAACATTTAATATTTTAAATCTGTTAAAAGGGTGAGTGCATGCATGACACACCTGTATTGCAATATTGCTGAAACAGGCATAGGAAATAAAGAATTTGAAGAATAGTTTCATTTGGTTTAATTTTTCCCCATCTTATATTTCCAAAAGGCCTTAACCTACAAGAAAGTGGAAAAGTAGCCCAATGCTCCTTTATGTATCTTTCACCTAGGTTTACCAACTGTTGACATTTTTCTTATTTGTTTTCACTCTATCACTCAGTATTTTTCTGAATAATTTCAAAGTAAGTTGCAGAAATCATGATACTTCACTTCTAAATACTTCAACATGTATCTCCTATGAATAAGACAGTCCCCAAATAAGTGCAATATCATGAGCACACACAAGAAATTTAACATTAATATAATAATGTTATATATAATTCATATCTAAATGTCCTTGATCTTCCTAATAATGTCTTTTAAAACTGCTATAATTTGGATCCAGGGACCAAACAAGGACAACACAAGCATTTTGTTATTATTTCTGTTTAATTTGCAATAAAATTGAAGATGGGGCGCCTCGGTGGCTCAGTCGGTTAAGCGTCCAACTTCAGCTCAGGTCATGATCTCACGGTTCGTGGGTTCGAGCCCTGCATCAGGCTCTGTGCTGACAGCTCAGAGCCTGGAGCCTGCTTCAGATTCTGTGTCTCCCTCTCTCTCTGACCATCCCCTGCTCATGCTGTCTCTCTGTCTCAGAAATAAATAAAACATTAAAAATTTTTTTTAAATTGAAGAATTCTTTCATTTTCTTTCTTTTTTTGGTCTTTAATAACATTGACATTTTTTGGAGGAGTATGTGCTGTTTTACAGAATGAACCTTAATCTGGCTTTATTTTGTCTATTGTTTTCTGGTTCTTAGATTCAGATTAAGTGTTATGGGTAGTTGCTGTGTCTTTCACGTTACAACGTATCAATAGGCATATGATGTCAGCCTGTCCTGTGACGGGTGTTGTTAAATTTGATCAACATAATAAGGTTGTGTCAACCATATTTGTCCACTGTAAAGATATCTTTTTATTTTTGTAATCATACGTGGAGATAAATTGACACTGTAAATCCTACTTTCCTATAAATTTTCACCCAATGGGTTTAACGTTCTAATAACGCTCAGTTTGGTTTCCACATAAAAAATATATAAATATACAAATATACAAACACTTATATAAATCGACACAGATTTAGACTATTAAATGAAATTATGTGTACTTAAACCCTTACAATAAAGGATGAACCTCTAAGATATCAATATTGCACTTGCCACTAAATTTATATTAATTATTAGTTTTGCTATCTTGATTAATCTCAATTTTAAATACATATTTCTTAAAAAGTGCTCTTAGTAGCTCTCATAATTGTTCATTTAGGTTTACCACACAAGAGAAAATCATTGTGTAATATTTTAGGTCTCATAATTTGAGCAACTCTTAATTAAGTACATAAAGAGAAACTGTTGGCCTATGGAGAATTCTGTACAAGTCTCTCTTTACTTTTTTTTCTATTTAAAAGCAGCTTGTGCATAGCATGGGTCTTGGCTTCAGAAAAGCTTGTGGTGTAATTAATGGAAAAGTCCATGAGCTTAGAAGTGAAAAGCCCAAAGTTCAAGGATTGGATCTACCTGCGTAAACACACACACACACACACACACACACACACATGCACCTACGCACCCTGTTCCTTAGATTTGGATCACCTATTTACCCTGTCTGAGCTGCATTTTCCTTAAACTTCTTGTGAGATATTTCAAAGGTCCAAAGATCTGTGTGTGTGAAGCATATAAAACAAGTACTTTCTAAACAATAAAGTGTTGTCCATGTGAAAAATTATTTGAATAATCTCTCAGGCATAATGATTCAGTTAGTTGAGGTTTTCCTAGCTTCATGTGAGATTTTTAACCATTCTTCTCTTTGTTTTCTTAAAACCTCAAGTTCCACAGTAATGCTTCTCAGAGTAGTAGCTGAGTAGACTGTGGTTATCATAATGGTTATCAATTCAGTTACTAATATTTGATACCCATCACTAGACAACTGTCAGGACAAAAAAAATGGCATTTAAGTTTTATATACTCAGAGGTATAGGGACTACATGTATGAAAAAATGAAAACACCCAGAGATAATCTACTTCATTGAATTCTCAGGTTTGAACAATAGTTGTAAAGACAATTTTATTTTTTTAATTAAAAAATTTTTTAATGTTCATTTATTTTTGAGAGAGAGAGAATGCAAGCTGGGGAGGGGCAGAGAGAGGAGACACAGAAACTAAAGCAGGCTCTGGGCTCAGTGCTGTCAGCACAGAGCCTGACACAGGGCTTGACGTCACGAACCGCAAGATCATGACCTGACGCTTAACCAGCTGAGCCACCCAGGTGCCCCTGTAAAGACAATTTTAAATGGTTTCTCTTTTCTCTTACAAGAGAAGCTGTAGATATTGGGAAGTCACTAGTGGAAACTTTTTTTTTTTTCATTTTTATTTTTGAGAGAGAGTGTGCAAGATGGGGAGGGGCAGAGAGAGGGGGAGACAGAAGATCCAAAGTGAACTCTGTGCTGACAGCAGACAGCCTGAGGCAGGGCTCGAATTCACAAACCCTGAGATCACGACTTGAGCCGAAGTAGGAGTCTCCGTCAACTGAACCACCGAGGCACCCCAGTGGAATTGTGCTATTGGAAGCAGATGGATGAAGGGGACGAATACTTCCTGGTCTAGTCTCTCCTGCACCAAGGATCCCCCACATGACCACGTGATACCCTGGGCATTAGAGCAAAGTCTGTACAGAGAACAACTCACCTGTGATTGGACACACATGGGAGAGAGAGTGGACGGTTTACGCTCACGCTGTTTACGTGTGAGGCGTTATGGTGGATATGTTCATGTTTCTGCCACCGAATCGGAGCCCTGAAAGTGAGGATTGTGTTTTGTTTATTTTTGTATACATGTTCTCATTCGTGTACACAGACATGCATATACATTCACACCCACACACATCATATTTGCAAACCCCACATCACACCCACACAGCCAGTACCAGCACCATCACTAGTACTAATCTTAAGTATCATTATGGATACTTAATGATTAGGTACCATGTTACTTCTTCAGACTTCACCATCTTCTTCCACTCATGCCTTGCTCTCCCTTCACCTACGCCTATCATAATTCAAGATCCTTCTGCAAAAATCAGGGCATTTATCTGTAATTCTTATAGATGCAATATTTAGGGCACTGATGGGAGTTTTGTTGGAGAGGACGACGTGACTCTCAAATGAGGGTGGAGGGTAGGCCACGTTTCATTAAAATCTCTACAGATAGCATCTATACACACAATTGTATATATATTGAATCTATGTTCTTTAGGACATAAGCCTTATTGTTTTATCTTACGGTATTACTTAGAGTCTTCTTAGCAAATGGGGACATCTGTTTATAAAATGTATTTACTTGGGACATGTTGGAAGATGGTGAGTTTCATGAATATCAAAGGGTTCAATGCTTTAAGAAAGGTTAAGAAAACCTTATCTAATCAATGCCAAATGAAGGATTCCCTCTGTTTTGAAGGCTCAGGCATTTTCTCTTTCAAGGCACAGATGCCATTAGGTCCTGAGAGGCAAAGTCATAAGGACCAAAATATAAATGAGACTGCAGTGCAAACCAGAATGGCAGGGAATTCATCGAAAGTCAGGCTTATAAATATCCCATTTTCTGGTGGTCTGGATCCCAGGGGCAGCCCACTGTGCCTCCGTGGTCAAGGTAACTTAGAAGCTAAAATCATGATCAGAAAGCCTCTGTTGATTTTCTCTGAAGGAGCGCTGCCGAAAGTACTCAAGTTACTCCACGGCCCAGCACTCTACACATTGTAGGTAGGCTTGTGTGGCAAAGCAAAACAAAACAAAACAAAAAGAAAAACAACACAAAAAATAAAAAACAAAAAAACATACTTGGTGAGCATGGGTTTAGATGCAAGACAGTTAGATGAACCAAATGTTAAACGGCACAAGACATAATAAACTGTATAATAAACTGATACATCCATTTCAAAATACAGATGATCTCATGAATGGGATTAAAAATACTCATAGTCCACTGGCTACAGCACATTCATCTCTACACTTGGAACAGCCTCTCAGGTGGGGACTAGCAAGACCACATATGATGATGTGAGCCTCTCACCAACCTGGGTGCCTAGACAGGCACCCATGTCTTTGTGTTCTTCTTTCTCCCTGTTTCCTTAGCTATCTGATCCCTCTTCTGACTGAGAGTCTACCTGTTGAGTCTTAATGAGCTGGAAGCTAATGACTTATACCTACGCTATGTTCAGCTAGGAGATTAACTGTCAAAAATTAATTGTACAACCTTTGGTTTCTAGTAATTAGGGGAACCTCCGGAAACACCTAAGCACCATTGACAGCTACCCGCCTTCTCTAACCTTCAATGAATCTAAGGCCAGATGTTTCCCCAGGCGGCGTGGGGAAGGGCATAGAGTTTCTGGTGCCTAAAGCATTAAACTTTGAGGCAGAGAGACTCAAATCCAGGGAATCCTGCATGGGTTGTATAAGCCATTTACCTGAAGGGTCTATTTTATAAATACAAAAAATAAAATAATTTTTGAGATGCATAGTTGCATCACACTGACTCTTCTTGAAGGCAGTTGGTGAGACGTGAGGCAATTTGCCTTGGGAGTCCCCACAATCCATTTAGAAACAGCGGCACAAAGGTCCCATGATCATCTCCCCCCTGCCAGCCTGAAATGTCAGCCCTGTGGGAAGCTGATAGGTGTGCCTGCTATCAGCGGAAGCAGCACCTCTACATGCGTATCTTCCAGAGTCCTTTATTCACTCTATATCCTACGTAAACTGTTGGATTTGACAAGGAGGAGTTGTCAAAAGCAGACTACTGGGAAGGGGCTATGTTGGGTTGAATTTGGCACCAATCTCTCACACTTGACAGCTCAAGTACAGGATTGCGGATGAGCTATAGAACCTATGAGCCCCCTCAGTCAGCGCGCGCAGGCCCTAAGTCACACTTAATTCAGAAAGCTGTGACAGCCCTGCATAAAATGGGAGCAGTAAAATGG